GACAGGGTCTCACTATGTAGTTGAGACTGACCTGGATCTCACTATGTAGTTCAGGCTGGTCTCAAACTCACACTGATCCTTCTGCCTCAGCCTCCCGAGTGCTGGGATTACAGGCATGCGCCACCACGCCCAGCAAGCCTTGGCTATTTTGACAAATGTCTTCTATTACCTTTTATTCCTAAATCCTACAGTTCAAATCCCAATACACACTCACTTTTCCCATCTTGTCCCTAATTTCTGATGGAGACAATGACTAAAGTTATCTTCTTATCATTGTACTGGCCTTTCCCAACTCCAGGCATACTAGCTTCTAAAACAGCAGAGGAAATACTGAAAGGTTTACTTATTAGGAAAAAGTAGAAAGAAGCTTATAGATGTAGCAGTTATAACCTAACCCTTTTGTTTCACTTAGCCACATTCTTATTCTTCTGAGATCTGACTTTTCAAGGTTACAGATTTATATTCCTGTTTATCTTCATTCCCCTAACTTCACAGGCTCTATAAACGGCCTAACCCAACCCTACTCACCCTTTTCCTCTGGGCTGGATGCCTGGTTAGTTGCTGGGGATGTTTTGGTGTTAAGCTGGGGGGAGAAATCAGAACATTAGATATTCACTAGACATTAGATATCAAGGTGCCATCCCCGAGACACTCATGCTGTCCTATAAGTAAGTACATTCTCTTAGTCATTTGTAGAAGTAAGTCTTGAGATCTGGAAGAGAAGAAAAATCACACTCAAAAAAATAATCATTCAACCTGTATTTACTGGTGCTAGGCAAATCAGAAAGGACAAAACAAAGAAACCTGGGCTTTGTGGAGCTTATTCTAGTGTATTCTCAGACAAATAAGTAAATAACACGACGACAGTGGTAGGTGGTGATATCTACTACAGAGAAAAGGCAGAGAAGGGAGGCAGCGAGGGTAGGGGTAAAAAGGGAGGAATCGAGTTTTATACAGAGTTATCGGGAAGAGCCAATCCCAAAGGAAGTATTTGAGCAAAGAACTGAAAGGGACGAAGAAGCAAAGGCTGTGACAAGTGCTTTCTAGGCCACAGGTGAACATCTGATTAGCTTGTTTGAGGAACACCACGCAACAGGTATAGCTGGAGTAGAGAGAAGGAGGAAAGATGCATTCAGGGGAAAACAGAGCTAACTAGGGGTGGGGCAGATTTTCTATGCACAAAAAAAGGGCACAGAAAAAGTAAAAGTTTCACTCAAGGCCGGGCCTAGAGGTGCATGCCTGTCATCCCAGCACTCGGGAGGCTGAGGCAGGAGGATCGCTGTGAGTTGGAGACCAGCCTATACTACATAGTGAGTTCCAGGTCAGTCTCAACTACATAGTGAGACCCTGTCTCAAAAAACAAACAAACAAACAAAAAACAAAAACAAATTCATTTAGTGAGTATGTCAGAGCCCAATATATACTGTTCTAGGGACTGAGCATAGAGCAGTAAGAAAAAAAAGTCCTTAAACAAACATGCAAGTTGATGACGTGCCATAAAAGAAAATAAAACCAAGCAGTCCTGGAAAATATTTCTGAAGATTAACATTTGAGCATAGGGCTTTCATGACCTAAAGAGTGAGACATGTAAATGTCTTGAGTGAAGAAACTTATGGGCGGATAAAGTAAGAAGCAAGTCCCAGACGCAGATGTGTGCCTAGTTACGTCTATGGAACAGTAAGAAACCACTGTGACTAGAGTTAAGTGAGGGAAAGATTATAAAAAATGAGACTGGGAAGGTAACCAGAATGTACGTCCTTGAACCTGGGCAAAGAGTGGATTTTTGTCTAACTTGACTGAAAGTCATTGGAGGTTTGAGGGCAGAGGAAAACAGGCTCAGACATGTTTTTCAAGGATTTCTGTGACTATAGCGGGACAAGAAGAAACCAGGGGAAACCATTAGGATCATCTCTCAGTGATATCAACGAAGGCGGTAGTGATAGGAAATACTCAGACTTCAGAGAGGTTTCACGAAGCTGGATCCACGGGCACATTTGTTGTTACCCAGGGCCATAGGAAAGCATAGCGGAGGAACTGGACAGCAGCTGGGAGAGAATGTGGGCTCATGAGATTAAGATGGGAGATTCAGTGTATTTGAATGATGATAGAAATGATTTAGTAAAGAAGTAAAAATTGATCATGGAACAGAGAGACAATAACTACCCAAGGGGAGCCTTGGAGAGGTAAAGAGGAAACGGACCTCGTGTGTAGGCAGAGGGGTTAGCCTTAGACAGAAACAGGGAAAGGTCATCTACATTATAGAAATGAAAGTACAGAATGGACACAAGCATGGTGGGAGACTCTGGGAAGGCACAGAAGTTCTCTTCTAGTTATGTTTTCTCAGTTGCCAGCTGAAAGTGAAGAATGGTTAAGAAGTGTTCAAGACTTGAGAGGAGAGTGGAATAATCACCTAAGAAAGTCAGAGCGTGAATGATGGAGAAACAGAGCAGGACAACAGCCATGGATTTCTAGGGCAGCCAGTTAAGATCTTGTGCTTTTCTTCCAGGGTAAGTGGGGTGATAAGACAAGTACTAAAACAATAGTCACTGAGCATTTATTGTGGACAAACATTATCCGATTTAATTCTCTGAAATCTCTGGAGTATCACCCTATTTTAGAGTTGAGGAAGCAGGTTTAGAGAGATAATAAGGACCGTGCTCCAGGTCAAGACACATAAGTAGAAAATAGCGGACCTAGCTTTGGTAGCCAGGCAGACTGACTCCTCCTCCTTACACCATCAGGCTGCACTACCCCTGCAAAACCAAATACTGCCATTGTCACAAACGTGTGAAAGTGTCAACAAGCACTGAATCTAAATGGAAAGCACATGGATATGTGTTGAACTATTCTTTCAACTCTAGTAGAATTTTCTAATAAAAAGGGGAACTAGGAATAAATCGATATTTTTAAAAGGCTGATAGCATGGTGTGTTTGACATAGGAATGTGTCTTACATAGATTTTAAGCCAGGCGCAGCGGCACATGCCTGTAATTCTGGCTGCGTGAGAGGCTATGGCAGGAGAATTGCAAATTCAAGGCCAGTCTGGGCAGTTTAACAAGACTAATTATCTATCTACCTACCTATCTATCTTCCATGTATTTATCTACACATTTTTTTTTTCAGTACCAGAAATCAAACTCAAGACCTCGTGCTTTTGAGGCAGGCACAGCACCACTGAGCTAAATCCCCAGTGCTTTATTTATCTATATGTTTTCACTTTAAAATCTGGAAGAGCATATACAAAAGTGTTCTTGAAACTCTATGGAATTCATGCTATTCTGTCTTTGACTGAAACAAAGCTTCCACGAAGGAAAGCTGTTGTTGTTTTTTTTTTGTTTGTTTGTTTGTTTTGGTGGCACTGAGGATTGAACGCAGGGCCTTTTCACTAAGCTCCTCCTCAGCTCTTTTTCTATTTTGAACAGGGTCTCGCTAAGTCATTCGAACTTGTGATCCTCCTGTCTCAGCCTCCCAGAGTGCTGGCACTACATGTGTGCACCATTATACCTGGCTAGGATTACTCAATCCCCAATACCACAATGGTGGGGGGGGGAGGCAAAAACAATAGTCTTATGATCTCTTGACTTCAAATCCTACTTTCTGTTATCAGCAAATCCCAACTCTGATCCTTGTTTTAACAATCAATCTCTGTCTCTAACCAAGCCTGTTCCCGAATCCATCAATTCTCCCTCTCCTGCTCCCCTGGACTCCACTGTAAATAACTCCCTTCAGTCGGGGATTTAGCTCAGTGGTTCCAAGGCCGCCTGCCTCATAAGCCCAAGGACTGGAATTTGATCCCCGGTACCAAAACAAACAAACAAACAAACAAAAACCCAATGAAACAAACAAAAAAATAAGTAACTCCCTTCAGATGGCTGTTTTCTCAACTTTGCTTTGTGTATCAGCAGACCTCGAGAATCCTCTAAACAGGAGTATGTGTCAGGACTAGACACGGGATACCATATTCCCTCTGCCCTGCCAGCTGCCCCTTCCTCAGCCTCTCCTCAGATTACTGACCCCGGATGGAACAATGACCCAGATGCCATCTGATTCCCCAGGAGTTTCCAGCTCCATTTAGGTTAAATTTATGAAAGGTCATAATCTAACAGTCCAGATCTCCACAGGGGAGACCAGAAGAGGACAATGTAAGAAGAAAACCCCTATTAAAACACCCCCTTGGAATCTCCCTTGCACCTTCTGTTGGAAAGAAGTGTGATAGGGCTCCTATCTCCTACCCCTCCTCCCTGCACTCCCACTAGCCAGTTCTCAAAATAGCCAGTGTGGACACTGGATTTCTGGATTTGGTTGTTTGTGACTTGCTGAGATTGGGGGTAGGGACAGTTAGGTCACAAGTTGTTGGCTCCCATCCTTTGTATGGTCCTCAGTCCTTCCCTGATCTCTAACTTCTGCCTCAACCCTCCTGTTTATCTTCCAGAAACTCAGCCACTGTAGATAAATCAGGGTCCTCTGATATGCCCACCAGCAAGTCATTAAACTATCATACTTCAGGTAGGCACGAAGGCCCACATCCTCTCTAGAGAACCTCTACCAAAAACTCTCACTCCGACCCCAACTTGCAAGAGCTGCAACTGGTCCACAGTTCTCAGCCTCTCAGCGCCCCTCCAGGTATGGATCACAAACCTCTCAGTGCTTTCAGTGCTGCACTTTTCTGACCAGAAATAACAACAGTGAAATGGTTCAGCGAACCCTTCCTTCTCCTTGTAGGATCGTAGGGGATCTGGAAAAAGGCCAGGACTTCAGAATGTTACCTCACCTCATTTTATTAATAATCACCTCTCTAATACTATGTGCTAGTGACTTCTAAGCATTTTAAAAACACACACTGAATCATTACAACAGCCCTGTAAAATTGGTATTGTTATTATGCTCATCTTACAGATCAGAAAACTGAGGTCAAAAGAGGTTAGTTAGCTTTCTTGCCTAAAGCAATAGAACTAAGATGTCACACAATCAGGGTTTGAAGTTGAGTTGTCTGGCTCTAGAGTCGAGGCTTCTGAACACCATGCTGTGCTTTCTCCATTGTCCAACCAGAAACTCAGGTGTGTGTGCACACTTACAGGAGACGTCCAGTGTGAGGCTGGCTTGTGTGCACAAGGGCTCCCTGAGCAGCACAAACCCAAGGTTGAAAGGAAGCCTCGGGAATCCTGATTTCACTCCTCCACCCCACCCCACCCCCGTAGCCAGGCAGCAGGCTCCACGGCTCCGCCTCTCCATCCATAGTCACCAACACTTTCTTCATGTCCACTCCCTAGGGAACATGGGGAACAGGTTCCTGTTCTCCCATTATGAAGCCATCTTAATGTCCTGTGGGGACGTAACTCCAGACCATGCCTAGTGAGTCAGATTCCTGCTCTGCTAGTTGATCTGACCACTGGATTCTGGCTTTCATCCTGATGCTTGCTCTGTGGGTCTCCAGGGGACAACTACAGCCTAAGTGTACATTCTTCACCCCCAGGGCCATATATGTCCAAGCCCTTCAGAGTCGGAGCATTCGATGCGTAGGATCATCTCACTGGCTTCGGCTCCAAATGGCTCCCTTGCTCACACTCAAACCTATTATCCAAGTTTCCAGTGAGCTTGGGC